TATCTATCTATCTATCTATCTATCTATCTATCTATCTATCTATCTATCTATCTATCTCTATATCTTTGCATATCTGTATACATTGTATCATTGCTAAACAAAGTTTTTTTAATGGAAAAATATTCTAGTTAAAAGGAAATTTGGCATATTATTAGAAAAGTGACAACCTCTATCATCTACATTTTCCTGGAATGTCAAGATTCTAGCATCTATATTTTCCTAGAATGCTTTCCTAGAAAATATAGAAGCTAGATGCTAGTACTTATGACATCTATATTTTCCGAAAATGTTACAATTTTAAACATACCTTTGCCTTTGAGTAGATGTGTCTCCCAATTATTTGTGTGCTCTGAAACATGTCTGTCCCAGGACCTGTAGCAATGCACAACTTAGCCTAAATTGGATTTCAAAACAACAAATTAGAAGGGAAAAGATATGTGGTTGACCAGCCTTTATCTTTGCATCTACTTAACTTCCCGTTTATCTTTCTTTCCTCAATTCTAAATGCTGATTATAAACTCCTTTCAATTTCCCTTTAACTTGCCGCTAATCAGGCAGCAAATCATAGCCAGTTATGTGTAATGGTTAAGGCACTAGGTCAGACACCCACGAGTTCTAGTTCTGATTTAGGCATAAAGCCATTTGGTCCAGCCACTTTCTCTTAGCCCTAGGAAAGAAGGCAATGGCAAACATCTTCTGAAATATTTTCCAAAAAAAGTGCAGGGCTTGTCCAGCCACTGTATGAGAATTAACATAATTGAACAGAAGCAAAATAAAACCAGTGAGTCTTGCCTTGGTTTGGATTGCGCCTTGTAAACTCTGGACTTTTCTTACCTCGTGAACCTTCTTGTATTGTGGATTTAATTTTACTTGGTGAGTTTGGTGAGCTTGCTTTGTGGACTTATTGGCCATTGCTCTATGGACTACCATTGGTCTGCTTGTGGATGGACGTTATTGGGACAGTTTTGAGCTTTTGATAAAGAAAGTTGCTGGGGAATATAAACCTCTCTCTCACACTCCTCAGGGGTGTGTGTGTGTGTGCATGTGAGAAAGAGAGAGAGAGAATATTATTGAAACTGAATTTGGAGAATGAATATATGAAGCATTGTATCATTCAGTGGGCAAAGAGTTTTGGATATAATATAATGAACAGAGGGGAAAATATGGGCAAAGGGTTTAAAGTTTATATTAAATTATAATTGAAAAGAAAAAATTTATAAGATGATGTACTGTTGGTATGTAAATTGTCAGATAAATTGTCAAGAATGTGTGAAGGTACTTTGAATGAATGTTGGAAATGTAAATGTAAAGAAAGAACTTTTTACCATTTATGGTGGATTTGTGATAAAGCAAAGGGATATTGGAGCAGGATTCACATCTTAATACAGTAGATTCTTAGAGTGAATATAAAGATAAAACCAGATACTTTTCTCTTGGGATTAATGGATAAAGCTTGAAAAAAAATGGAACTCTTATGCCGCAAAAGCTGTGGAGTTAGCAGAGATGGCTAAACTGACTTGCTTTGATTAAAGAAAAAAATACAATCAACTTTGTTTCTGCTTGGAAACTGCTTTTGAATTTTGTGCTTGAGATGGGAAAAAATGAAACGCTTTTCGCTTCTCATCCAAGAAGCTTCTTCAGCTCTGACTGGATGGCAGGGAATGAAAGAATTTATACTCCAGGTGGTCTTAACAACTTGCTAAAGTAATGCAAATGACCAGCTGTCTGTAAGGGGTTTTTATATCGCTTACAGACAGCTGGTCATTTGCATTCTTTTAGCAAGTTGTTGAGACTACCTGGAGGTCTGTCTGTGTCCATCAGGGTCACCTGAGTGATGCAAATGGGCATGGAGCCTTCTTGGAACTGTTGAAATGACTGTGTGGTAGACTGGAGATAGATGATGCTGTATCCTTCCACCTCTGTTGAGAGAAGGCTGTTCAATTTTGACATAGATGGCCTCTTTGACCCTTCTTTCAAATCAGCGGTTCTCTCTCTCCAAATTATGGACTTGAATGAATACATACTATTACCCAACAGTCAGCGCATTATGATGTAACCAAAGGCACAATGGAATGATTATTTGTAATTATCAATGGGAACTTAGACCGTCTTGAGCATTTTGAAGAGTAATCTATAAGGCAGGTTACCCTGAAACCTTGCTCTCTTTGAAAGACAATCTTACTAGAGTTGAATTTATAAAATTCTGGCTATTTTCCTCCTTAGTACCTTTGGTATATATAAGAAGGAGGTATATGAAGCCCCTATAATTTCAACCATGAAATGCACAAACTTTTGATCCAGATCTAATACTTACCCCACCTATAAGGCAGTAATTCCCCATGTTTTCACAGGGCTCCCCAGTGTTGATGCAGTGTGGGCCCTTTGTATTCGGAGACACATCGCCCAAGTTAGAAGAAGTAAAAGCTGCCACAAAGGGGCCCTGAAAGAGGAAGAAAGTCATATTGGTGACTCCCGTTGTTCCCACAACATTTATAACTCAAAATCTTAGGCATTTGAGGGAGGTGAGAGTATTAAAATTGCAAGATGGCAAGGTGAAAAGAAAGACGCCTTATTCTTTATAAATGCATAGAGGGTCAATGTATGTAGAACAGTTGCAATGTTGATACAAACACATGATAACCTGCAGACGTTGCCGAAAAAAACCCTCCTCAAGTCCTATGTAAGAAATTTAAATCTGTGTATTATTCTTGGTAGCATATATGATTTATAATAACATATATGATTTACAACCATTTGTTAGTGACTGTTTGAAGTTACAACAGAAGCGAAAAAATGACTTATATCCATTTTTCACACTTACAACCATTGCAGCATTTCCCATGGTTACGTGATCAACATTGGGATGCTTGGCAATTGGTTCATATTTATGATGATTCATACGTTGAGGACCACCCGCAGTCCATTCCCTTATGAGACTGGACTAAAACAGCATAATAATATTTGAGCAAGTTTGACCATACAGATACTTAACAATGTGACCTTTAATGAGACCTGACTTTTACTGCAATGTTTTAATTGCCTGCCACATTCATGTAATATTCGGTGCTTTCAGGTTTTGTGAGTACTGTAGTCACATGGAAATGAAAGTTTGCTTTTTGGTATTTGTTTCATTTCATTTTCACTGCCATGCTTCGTTATTATGGTTCGTTGCAGAGTTAGCCAGATGTTCAGACTGGATTTGGCATTTTTAATTCACCTATTTAGTCCTTTCCAAGGATCCAGGATATAAATATTATTTATATATAAAGTCTGTGTGGCTTACAAAATCCAAAGACAATAAATAAAACAGTTAATAACATACAACCACACAGGAAACCCAGACCAAAGCAATCAAACAATAATAAATCAATCCATACCAAAGGACTAATAAACACATCACCCACAAGACTGGGAATAGAACCAAGTGTTAAGGCTTTCTAGAACTCCAGAATAGGTAGCTACTATTCCACATTTCTCCTGCCAACTGAAGAAAGAAGCGTATTTCTCCAATTTAGGCTCCTCACCTTAACCTCCTCAACTGTACCGTGAGTATAATCTCCAAATTTATTTATTTAGTCAAGCATGTATTAGATAACATGTATAAGTATAAACATGATTATGAATACATGAAATGGATACAAATAAAAAGGAACATTAGGACAGGGACGGTAAACACATTGGTACACTTATGCACGCCCCTCACAGACCTCTTAGGAATGGGGTGAGGTCAACAGTAGACAGTCTAAGGTTAAAGTTTTTGGGGTTTGGAAGAAGCCACAGAGTCAGATAGTGTATTCAAGATATTGACCACTCTGTTGCTGGAGTCGTATTTCCTGCAATCAAGTTTGGTGCGGTTTACCTTGAAATTGTATCTATTGTGTGCTCTTGTATTGTTGTGAATACTGCCTTGGGGGACACTGCTGATTACAGGTACAGGATTTGATAGGGCGCTTGTTAGGAATGTAAGTCACCTAACAGTTATTTGGGTTGGAAATATATAAACTAGGATAGACATTTTAATACTGTATCTTTAAGAAAATCCTAAAACTGTAATTGGGTGTGGTTTCTCAAACGGCCATAAGATGGAGCCAGAAACCTGGGTTGTTTTAGTCTCAGAAGAGAGTCTCAGTCTCTGTTTCCTTCTATTGGAGAGAGTTGCCGTTCCTCCTAATGACTGTTACTGATCGTTGATGTAAGTCTGTTACTGAACTGTTTTTTGATACTGGACTTTGATATTTGGATTATCCCTGAACTGAACACTGACTAATTTACCAGTGAATGACTTGGACTGCTTATCTTGGACTGTGCTTAAACGTTTATTGGAAGTAAAAACCTACATTTACTGTACAGTGTATCTGTGTGCTGTGTGTGTATTATTCAACATTACTCTCACTACGTCTCCCTGTATGCGCTCACTCTCCTAACGGGGAATTACCTCAACAGCGCTCCCTATTTTGACCAATTGTTGCCTATTTGACAGGAATGCAGCTATCCAGTTATGCAGGTGTCCGGAGATACCATAAGATTTTAGTTTTAAAAGTAGTTTATTGTGTACCACTGAATCAAAGGCTTTACAGAAGTCTATGTAAATTGCATCTATTGCTTTACTTGTGTCTCGACTTGTGTAGTCCATATGTTTTTGCAGTGTAGGAGTTGCAGATTACATGATAATTTTTTCCTGAAACCAAATTGTTTTTGGAGAGTAAGTTGTTTGTCTCTAATTGATTCCATTACTTTGCAAGTGACGCAAGATAAAGAGATTGACCTGTAATTTTCAAATAGGCTGGGGTCTCCCTTTTTGAAGAGGGGAATGACCGTGGCTAGTGACCATAGGTTGGGCAAGGAGCTGATCCTGAAATATTTTTCAAAGATTATGCTTAAGAGATTCTGCTATGGCATTGGAAAGCTTTTTTAAGAAGTAGGCACATAGTCCATTGGGTCCAATAGATAGAGATGGTTTTAGATTTTGTAGTGCTTTTTCGATGTTATCTTCTGTAACACCGATATCTATTAGATCATTGTAAATGTCTGTGGTTCGATTATAAAATATTGGGCATGAGCCATTGCTGTTTTACAAAGACTGAGCCATTTACAAATTGTAAATTGCTGTTTACAAAGACTATCTTGGTCAATAGGACTTGGAATTCTAGGAACTGAATTTGAAATGCTTCTGGAGAGTAACTGAGCTGAACTTTAGATTTTTGATAAAGCCTAAACTACTAATAGTATCTTTAAACAGGGTTTAAAACCTAATGGGAAACAATCGTTTGGGGCTATTATTCTATGCATTGCATGGGAAAGGTCCCAGATGCAAATCCCAAGATCTTCACATAGAAATATAACATTTCCTGTATAAAACTCTGGTCACTGCCAACCACATGGGACTATTTGAACTACTAGCTACATTCAATAGAAGGGCTGACGCAACTTACTATGTTGTATACACAATGATGCACGTTAATTGTTCTTACCTTTCCTGGAAAGTATCCTTCATTCTTCTCTTGTTCAAAGAGATAAGCTGCATAGCCAACATTATCACTATTAACTAAAAGGTTGGTGTTGTTCATACTGACAGGATGAACGGCAAACCAACTAGTAAAAACATAAAAAAGGGAAAGCTGTTAGGAAAGTATTTACTTACTTACTTACTTACTTACTTACTTGTATGCCACCTATTCCCAAAGGCCCTTGGCAGCTAACCATATATGATTTAACACTTCCTATCCCAAAATCCAGTCAGCCTCTGTCTGTCTGTATATTATCTATCTATCTATCTATCTATCTATCTATCTATCTATCTATCTATC